CTAAGTCTCCTTAGGATTTCTTGGCCTACCTCCACACTTTCCTTTGCTTCCCAGTGTTCCTATGGCTCCATGGTGCTTTCCTCCCGATTCTCCTCTCTGTTTCTTCTTGCATTCTCTGCTGAACTACTAAAAACCACGAAATGACTCACAAAGTCACGGTTCAAAAACTGTAGAAAACTGTCGTGCCTTGGCACCCAAAATTTGGCGCATAGGCACTGCCTTCTCGGGTGGATGCGCAGAGTTCTGGTGCCTAGGCGCCCAGAAGCTGGCGCTAAGGCGCTTGAATGGAAAACCGTGGCGCCGAAAATCTGGCACCTAGGCACCAGTTATGTGAAATCTAAGTTTTGCTTCATTCAGCTCCTTTTTGCTTCTTTTTAATCCTTCTTCGCTCTAAATGTTCTACCTATTATACTTGCATGAAAAACATAAAAAATACATTTCTTTAAAATGTCGTTTCATCTAAAAACAATTATGAAAGACAAAGGAAATAAACCATGCTTTAGAACATATCAGGAGGCCTGAAGCCCGCCATCGGAAATGTGGTTTAGCTACAACCTTACTGGTCTTTGAGTGATGTTCAAACAAAAGCAGAGTAGACAATCACTACAATTTTGACAATCACCACCAGTTGGAAATATCAGTAGGAACACACCTAAGGAAGTTGAGAAGACTGGTAAGGAGAATGATCGAGCTTCCCATAGTGAAAAACTTGAGAAGAGCAGCACCTCAATTACTGTCTCCACTAAGAATTGTTTCAAATGTCATGATATTGGACACATTGCTTCTAGTTTCTTCTTGCATTCTCTGTTGAACTGCTAAAAACCACGAAATAACTCACGAAGTCGCGGTTCAAAAACTGCAGAAAGTTGTCATGCCTTGGCGCCCAGAATTTGGCGCCTAGGCACTGCCTTCTCGAGTGGATGCGCAGAGTTCTGGCGCCTAGGAGCCCAGAAGCTGGTGCTAAGGCGCTTGAATGGAAAGCCTTGGTGCCGAAAATCTGGCACCTAGGCACCAGTTATGTGAAATCTAAGTTTTAATCTAAGTTTTGCTTGTTTTGCTTCATTCAGCTCCTTTTTGCTTCTTTTTAATCCTTCTTCGCTCTAAATGTTCTACCTATTATACTTGCATGAAAAACATAAAAAATACATTTCTTTAAAATGTCGTTTCATCTAAAAACAATTATAAAAGACAAAGGAAATAAATCATGCTTTAGAGCATATTAGGAGGCCTGAAGCCCGCCATCGGAAACGTGGTTTAGCTACAACCTTACTGGTCTTTGAGTGATGTTCAAACAAAAGCAGAGTAGACAATCACACAGAAGAAGCAGAGTATGCACCCACCGACATTCAAACTACCACCCATAATTAGAGACATTAGTAGGAGCATGTCTTCGAAAGTTGAGAAGCTTGAGAAGAGCAGCACCTCAATTACTGTCGCCACCAAGAACTGTTTCAAATGTCATGATTTTGGACACATTGCTTCTGTTTCTTGTTGCATTCTCTGTTGAGCTGCTAAAAACCACGAAATAACTCACAAAGTCGTGGTTCAAAAACTGCAGAAAACTGTCGTGCCTTGGCGCCCAGAATTTGGCGCCTAGGCACTGCCTTCTTGAGTGGATGCGCAGAGTTCTAACGCCTAGGCACCCAGAAGCTGGCGTCAGGGCGCTTGAATGGAGTGCCTTGGCGCCAAAAATCTGGCGTCTAGGCACCAGTTATGTGAAATCTAAGTTTTGCTTCATGCAGTGAAGGAAGTGAGCGACGAAGATGCAATTGAAGAACAAGGTGATGAGTATCGCTTCTACCGGATGAGGGCGAGAAGCTGGTAGTTCGACGGGTCCTACGGACTGAGGCTACGAGGGATCAATAGTGGCTTCACCCCAACATATTCTACACTCCTTGCACTGTGAAGTGAAATATATGCAGTTTCATCATCAATGAAGGGATCAACAAGAGTGTTGTGTCGAAATAGATGGTGGACAAGTTGACCTTCACAACAAAAACACTCATGGTCGAGGAAGAAGGATAGAGCCACCATTGAGAGGTGTCTCATAGAGTTTTGATTGAGAATCAGTTGTTGGACCAGGTTCTGTGCTATGTGATGCCCAAGGATGTCTGCCATTACTGTTGGGGAGACCGTGACAGTTTGATCACCAGCCTTAGCATGACGGGTTAAGGAACACCTACTCCTTAGTCGAAGATGAAAAGCACATAGTTCTTTTAACTTTTATGGAATCTGAGGTTATAGGTGCTCTTTTCAGTAGAAAAGCTCTAATAGAATTTGTATTGGTGGCGATAAAGGATAGCAAGACAGAAGAGTAGGCTTTAGATGCAGTACAACCATTGTAGAAAGAGTTTTAGGACATCCTGTTCGATACTTTACCTTCATGACTACCATCGTTTTGGGAGGTTCATGCTACCCACACTTACAGAGCAGGTTGAGCTAACCTTGGGTTTCTTTTGGAGGATTCAATAGAATATATATGGCATGAAGTCCTATTTTAGTAGTGTACCTCCAAAAGATTTGATTGATATGAATATATGCACGCAACTGGAGGAAACTCCTCACATGTTTAAGGGGACATTGCAGTTGCCAGTGGGATCACGGTGCTTCTTGGACAGCAATTGAAGATCATAAATTCCGAGAGGTTACAATAGCTTCGTCACCTTCAATGTATAAACAGAAGCTTTGACAAATGAGTTCGAAGCTCCTCTCAATCTCGAGAGAATGAAGCGGGGTGTCCACACCATAGACGCGACTAATGCTATGATCTTTTCCTTTCTGTCTGGTAAAGGAGGGACTGACTGGTCCTTCCAGGCATGTGCTTCCCTTCTATTTGGAGTGAGGTTCACTCCTTTTTACCCTTGGCATATAAGTATGTTGTTTTCGTGTTTTAAGGTAGTTTGTGATTGTGATTTTTGTTGGGGCAACCGTTGGCGTATCTAGGTTTTTCCTTCTATGGCTACATCCAAGGGCGAGTGGTGCATCGACTGCATCTCATTCCAAGGTGGTGATTATCTTCTAGTTTTCTTGCCCTACATCCATCCCTTCGCTGCCGCAATCCTCTTTCCTCATCGCATGGATCACCGGACAACTATCTTGCTACATTCTTGCAACCACCTCTCTTCCATCTTGCCATCCACCTTCAGTCAGCTTTCCTGCCCCCTACCCATCCAACCACCATAAATTTCCTCCTGTAACTAGCCGTTTAATACACCTACAACAACCGGCTCCCTCCAGTCAACCCCATATCTCCCATCAACATGCCTCTGTCACCCACCACCCACATCCTTGTCCTTGGCTGTAAACCTCCTCTACCATCTACGTCCATCTCCATGCAGCCACACCTCCCTCGAGCAACCGCACCTCACTCTCCCTTCTATATCCAGTCGCATCCATGCCTTCCTTGACTACGGCCAATCTTCCCAATCTTTCCTACCAACCTCAACCATCCCTGTCTCCTGCAATCTTCCTTGCTGCAGATTGGCCCTCCTTGTTGCAGCCACTTTCCATCATCCGCCATCAATCCTCCACCACCATACACCATTCCAAAACCCCAATCAACTACCTTTCATGTGGGATACAGATCTAGTTGAGTTGATTGTTGTTATTTCTTTGTTTCAGATGTTGGTTGTAACTTCCTTTTGACTTTGTTGTAATAATATTTGATGTCCTGTCATTATTTGGGTTAACTTGGGTATCATTTAAACACGTGGAAGAGGAATGTGCATCTATTAACATAAATTTGACGAGAGTGAGGGAGAAAAATAAGAGGAAGCATCTATAGCATATCAATAAGGCAAAAAGAAAATAGAGTGATATTTCATCAAAAAGTTGGGAAGGAGCTTCTCATCAATCGTATGTCAATCTCATAAATATGCGCGTTATAATATTATGCGTACAGTGAGGATAGAGAAATAATGAAAACTAGATGGTTGTTCCTTAGAGGAATTGAAAGGTTGTTTTATCCATTTTTTTATAAATTTAAGAAAAATAAATAAACTAAAAAGGTGGAAGGTTTTGGGGAGAGGTGTGGATGGAACTCATGGAAGGATAAGAGGAAAAAAATGACGAAAAAAAGAGAATTAGTTTTTCCTGTGAAAGAAATGAAATACTTTTGTGTTCATAACATTTCTATAAATTTTAAGCTAAGAATTATTAAATTTAAAAGGTGGAAAGAGGAAAACACAGTCTATCAAATTAAATTATATGCTTCTATTTTACTTTTTTATAAAATTAGTGTAAAAAGATAATAAAGGAATTGCACCTCATTTATCACTTAATAATGAATAAAAGGGATTTATAATTTTCACACTTGTGATAAGCCTCAAGTTGACATTGGTTTTAAATTTCATATATGCTTGCTTTGTATTGGTTATGCTAAGTAGAAAAATCTGCTATTTAGATATAATTTGAAGTCCCCTAAGTAGCTTTAATTAGTTATTTTAGAAAAAGTTTAAATAGTCCTTGGGCTACTTATGGGAGGCTATTTTAGTGCCATACTATCTAATATGTTCAATATAAGTTTTTGATGAACTATAGTTCAATATTATGCATTGATTATTCAAATATGATCCAAAATAATTCAATCGAGGGCTCATTTTAGATCATATTTGATGATTCAAGTGACTAAATTGAACATATTAGATACCTAAGACAAAAGCGACCCTGCACAAGTAGTTCGAGGATCATATCAATCTTTTTCTCTATTTCTTTCAAAGCCGTAAAAAAAAAAAATATATATTTTTTTATGATTTTTAAGTAGCAAAATGATTTTGCATTAATTAAAGTTGTGATCTTATGTAGCACGCACTTAATATAAAGGAATGGCGATCCCAAGTAATTGGTATAAAGATACTGATGGTTATGATGACTTTTTAAGAACTTGTCTTTGATGAGTTAATTGTAACTAATTAATAATGATGCCCGGGCATACTTTTAAAAAAAAGATTACTATGCATTATTATTTGATTGTTAACTTTTTCTTCTTCTTCGTTTTTTAGTTTTGAGCTGAACAGTTTGGAAGATGAAAGAAATGCAATGAGAAAGCAAAAAAGGTTAGTAATGTGTTTTTTCTTTTTTTCATGCATCCACATTCTACTTTGTATTTTGCTTAATAGTGTGGTTACTGAAGCTATCTAGCTGCTTACTTTGTTGAAAATAAATGAAGAAAAAAATGGGCTTTTTAGCTTTGTTTATTATTGACCTTTTATTATGTTGAGTGTACAATAGGGTAAAGTGGTGGAATGTTGTAAAGGCATCTGATATTTCCATCTTGTCCATTGTTTCAAAATGCATTTTAAGGTTTGCCTTGGATGGGGCTGTTGGGTGGTGGGGTAAAATTTTCTCAAGCTAGTCGGAGAAGGTGTGTTGAACTTCAGGGCACACCTCATTCGTTGAGGCGTCTCCCGAGGCTCGCAGGGCTCCTATTTTATGCCTTGTTTGCTTTGCTTTAGCTTTATTATATAACTAAACTTAAATTGTTTATTAAACTCCCATTTATAAATATGTTCCCTATCTATTTAATTATAAGTATGAATTGAAAATTTATTTTCCTTTTATTTTCATAAGATTTAAGTTTATTAAATTAATTCCATCTACACAAAGCTTATAAAAATAACGAAGCCTTTATATCAAAGTTAGCTTTATATTTAGATTTTGAATCAACTCAATGTTTCATATAAGAAAACATGTTAAATCATGTAAGATAGTAATTTGTGGTTCTATGGTTTTATTTAAATCATCGTCAAAATGGCCATTGTTCTTAACATCTTCCATATTTTCATCATTGGGGATTGAAAGTGCACTAATTCTTGCGTAGAATTCATTTTTATTAGAACATCAAAAACCTATTTTATCTCTTCCTTAATACTTTTATCAAGCAACCTTAGTGATATGGACTACAAATAGGTCCATTTTTTTTAGAAATCCTATAACGCAAAAGTATAATTGGGGAATGCTAATTGACGTAATAGATCTATTATGACTTAACGTTGTAATGATAGAATGATTAATACTATTTCTAGAAGAAATATGAAATCACATTTCCACCTCCAAGGCTTAAGGTCTTTTGTCATAATTCGAAGGTGCAGATCATTCACTAACCTTGATATTGCTAAATATGCTTTTTTCTTGCAAATCACATGCAAAATTGAATTCTTAAAATCTATTTAAATATCCATTAATAGTTTGATTATTGTCATAAATTTACCAGCTTTTAGCTACCGTAGACTTGTAATAAGCAGATAATTACTTATCTCTTAGTATTCATTTGAGACAGCTTTTTATAGCTTTCTTTGCATAAGAAAATCAACTATTGTATTTGGTTATAATTTTCTTGCTATTTTTCATATATATATATATATATAAACTAGAACTCTAAGAGTGTTTTATTTATAATAGTGTTTTTCAATTGAAAAAGTATGATACTCTCAACAATTTTCAAAATTTAATTTTCTACAATAATTCTATAGTTGTTTACGAGCTATTGCGGTTGCCCCAAATAGATTCTTAGTTCAACTTGTTGATTGACCCATGTTCTAATCGGACATTATATATAATTTTCCATCACACTGGGTTCGTAGCAAAATTCTCTTAGCAAAACTAACCAATTTATATTTTACTTATTTGACATAGTGTTCATCATTTTGTATAATATCAATTAAAGAGATCCATGTTTAGATATTTGATCATGAAATGCATTTGAATTATATCAATCATTGAAAGTGAGGGTTTCCATCTTTTTTTTTTTTGGCTTTAGATTCATCATGATGTAATGATATCAGTCATTGTAAATCTCATGATCTATTTCATGATGTCTATAATGTCGACACTTTAATTAACCCTCAGGTTAACTTGAGGTATAATAGAAGAGGATGAGTTAATTAGATTTCATTTTTACCAACAATCATGAGAGTATGCATTAATCAGGATGAAATGAGCGCAGGATCTGCATTACCAAATCGGTACAAGCAAACTCTTGCATATGAATTCATTAAATTTTCATCGATATCAAACGAATATAAGTGTGTAAGAAATTTTCACAATCTAAGTACAAAGCTTCTAAAAAATATTTGAAGTATGAATCATATGTATCTTAAAAGTTTTCTATAATAACCCAAAATTATACATTCAAAAATTATATAGGGCACATCACTTAGCGAATGGTAGGGGTTTCAAAGAGGGTTCGCAAGTCAGATATGATATGACCTGAAATTGACTTGACCAAAAACTGTTTGACCTAAACTCGACCCGAATATTAAGTACTCCGACTTGAATTTGACCTGTATAACCTGTTTAACATAAGACAACAACTATTCAATTAGGTCAATTTTGGTTAGCAGGTCAATTTCTAGCCAATTTTGTATTAACGGGTTGGTTACGGGACAATTTTGGGTTGGCAGTGGGTAAAATCAAACTAGAATATTCTCAATCTAAACCTGACCTGAAAATTATTCATATCAAACCAAACTCAGATTTTTTGAGTCGATTTTGCATGTCGGATTAATTTTTGATACCCCTAACTAACAGTAAATCCGCCCTTTATACTTCCCTAAAAATCAACAATATAATATCTAGTAAGCCACACTTTTAGCGAGATAAACGATGTTAAAAGATTCAAGCATATAAGAAAATTCATGTGCATGTTGATCCAAAGTTAAAAAAGTTGAATCAGGAATTGAGTCATTTTGCCTTAGCGAGGCGAGATGAAGTGTAATTCTCGAGGCGAATTGAGGCATTAGCATAAAAACATAAGAATTAAAAACTTATAAAATTAGACATAATTCTTAAATTAGATAAACAAACAACATATTTATTTAGTTCATCATTATAAAGACAATTAGACAAATCATAACTCTTAATATACAAAAGTCAAAGTAGAAGCTGAGAAGCTTTGGTGAGCAAGCTAGTGATGGGAGTTCAATGCTTAACAAAGAGACAAAGTTGAAGTTGTGATGTGCGAACGAGCTTGGGGCTACTGTGGGGGCATGCAAATGGGTTTGGAACGATGCTCGACAGAGAGTTGACTTGTGAACAAGCTCAAGACAATGCTCAATAAAGAGATGAAGAGATAGCTACGTGCACGAATTGGCTTGAGATGATGTTCTACAGAGAAATGAAGTAGAGAGCAAACTCTCATGTGATAGATATTTTATGTCGAGCATGGTTATATATTGTATAAATAATATTAGATAAAATATATTATTAATATAAATTTATAGTTTAAAATAATTAACAAAATGAGGCGTTGCTTTAAATATCTCGAGGCATTGCGTCTTGAGGCCTACACATCATTGCTCAAAGACATAGCCCTTGATAATATTCCTCAAACATTTTTTTTAAATCATGTGTTGGTCCTTGACTAACTTGAGTAAAACAAGAATAAAAAATAATATATGTTATCACTTAATACTACATAAAATATAATTAAAAATATTGTATGAAGTATTGGTTAGCTCCAATGGCTGACAAGCTTAGATAGAGGCGCCTTAAATGGTTTAATCACATTAAACTTTAACCATCTGATGACTCTGTTAGGAGAATAGATCTTTTAGATGGACTTATGCTAAGAAAGCTAGAGGTAGACTTAAAAAGACTGGATTCTGTTGTATACAAAATGATTTTAATTTATTAGAATTAAATGGAAAAATGACACTCAATATGACACCATAGAGAAAAAAAGATTTATGTAGCCGACTCCACTTAGTGGGTTAAAGGCTTCTTGTTGTTGTATGAAACATTTGTTAGGAATAATAATTTTGTTACAAGTAATTCTTTCATTCATTATAATAGGTAATTTTCTATATGTTTTTACTTTATATGTATCCTTATTCTAAACTTTTTTTTGTTTTAGGAATGTGACATTATATTTGTATAAATTTTGACTTGTTTTATTTTATTTTGTTATTTCTCAGCCCTTCAGCCATAATAACCATTGATAAAGGTTGATAGTCTCAATGTCGCCCTTATCAACGCCTCCCTGATACCAATTGATCCACTCAAACCTTAATATCAAGAGTAAAAAATTCAATCTTTTTTCTAAGGTTCTGTTTGGCGCAGCTGCAACTTCTCAGTTTTTCAGCTGCACTACCCTATAAAGCTGCTGCGGGGAAGCTGCTGTAAGGAAGCTGGTTGTCTGTTTAGTGCAACTGTGTGAAAACAGTTGTGAGACAGCTGTTTCTGGAAAAAAATGACCATGTCACTCCTGCTTGGTAAAACTGTTTAAAACAAAATTGTGACAGTAACATTTTTGATACTTCTGAAGCAGAATTTCACTTCGAAACAATTCAAAAATTCAAACTAACTTAACAGTGAGTACTGAAAGTGATAAAGGAAAAGGAAAAAATCATAATTCACGAAAACCATAGCAAAATTTCGTAAATTATCTTTCCAATAGATACTTTTTGATTCATTACATCTTTTGTTCAAGATATTTCTCCTTCAACTCATGCCCTAATGTTTAGGTAGAAGCACAAGTATTTTAGAGGGAAGTCCAAGTATTTTATATGGTTCATCATACACCTGCACTTCCATGCCCCTGCAAGGAATATCAACAAAAGCTTCTCCAAAAAAATTTAAATAGTTAAAACAAGAAAACAATAGAAAGTAATACATATATAGAAAATTTTAAAGGAAATGAGAAATCTACAGCTCAAGTTCAACATAATTCCATCAAAAAAGCATAAGCATTTGCATTTTCTCAACCAATGACATATGAAAGCAGTGATTCCCTGAAAAAGCATAGACCAACCAAGCTGCTCCATTGTCATTCTGTGAAGCACCTTAGAAAGAACAAGATTCCCTTCCATGCTGAATTTAATCATCACTGAGGGAGGGGGGGAGGGATAGCGATAATTATAAAAATGTTCGAAGACAAATGCTGAGAATTATAAAAATGAATGAAAGAAGATACTAGATTTGTAAATAACAATATTTAAGTGCTATGCATAGGAAAATTTAATTTCTTATGACTCATATTATCGGTATTTAACAAAAAAATTCCCACAAGATGTTTATTTTGGGTGAAATTACAGCTAAAGAGGGATAACATCTAGTATTAGAGGAGTACATATTTCAGTTCGAGCCATAAACCAATTCAAACCAAAATTTGACTTTGGTTAAAACTAATGTCACATGAATTTTACGTATTTAAATATTTGATGTGCCATCAAGAAATTTTTATTATCAGACACAAATTTCAAAGCATTTTGAGCAAGAAACATTTCAAATTCAAATACAAATAAAAAATTTTGGTGTTTTCTCCCACGACTTTTCTTTTATCAGTGTATGTGCTAAATCTTTGTGCAACACTAAGACGTTAAATTTTATTGAAAGTAATCTCTGAGGCTGAACGATAGACATGTTTGAATGCTTCACAAATTAAGATGAATGCAATATTTTTTAAAGGTTCCCCCAAACCCCACCATACCCAATTAATCTCTACCGCAATCTCTAGCCTCAACCCTAAATTTATAAAATTAAACTTTTCCACCTCTATCAAAATTTCATGCTGACATCTACCACCAAAACCTAATCCCCCGACTAACCTCGATTTGCTTGAACTATCATTTATGTGCTTTTGCTGGGGGTTTTAGTGAGATAGGGCAATAGAGGTTATGAGATAGGTAACAAAATAATGATTTTTCGGTCCCTAATAATTGATCTTTCAATCCAAGGGAAAATTAGTCCTGAATATAGGAACGAATTAATAGAGAATATTGATGTATAAATATGATCAATTGAGATTGCATTTACATTTTCAAATTGGAGCAACTAATTATGGAGAAGCTTGAGAATATTTTTTGTATTTAAAAAAAAATTAAATTTAAATTTTATTTCAAATGCTGAAACTTTTTTTGAGATTTAGTTGAGGGATTAGAAGATAAGGTTAAGCGGAGATAAAGCATAATTTAGGGAGACTGTAATTCTCTTCGATTTCTAGGCTCATGGTGGGGAGAAAAAAAGATGGGACAAGAAAAACCGCATAAAAAATATTGCAATTGAGCATAAAATGCAAGAAAAACCATTAAATCTCAAATCAGTGGATTTTCAAGTGCTAAATAGTAATAAGTTGACGAAAACTGAAATAATAGGAAATTCACTTAGTTGCCAAATCGACATAGGGTATACAATGAAATTATAAAAACTGGAGAAAATAGGGAGAAAACGTAATAGAATGATATCATACATAGGGAGAAAACGTAATAGAATGATATCATACATCGATTCGTCAAATTGTCAAATTTAAGTCATCAGGTTATTGTAGAATCCTTAATTCATGGACACATCAAGCATGGGAAGGATAAACTTTTCATAATTTTTATTAGAGTTTTTTACATACTAACCACCCAAAACATTCAATATAACATTTTAACCATCCAAATTTTAAATATTACATTTTAACCACCCTTTTCATTACAACCACTCTCCTTTACCCACCATTGAAGGTTTTGAGTGAAAGTTTTGGGTTAAAATTTTAGATTAAAAATTTTTTGTTGTTAAAATATAATATTTAAAGTTTGGGTACTTAAAAATGTTATATTAAATATTTTGGGTGGTTATGAAAAAATCCCTTTTTATTATTCTAGTCTAATTCAAAAACTTCTTACATAAGTGTCCTATTTATATAGAAGAAACTAAGGCTTAATTACACCGATTCAATCTTTTATTGACTCGTTTGACTCTTTGGGTTTGCTAAAAATTGAGTATACATGAACCAATTTTCTGGCTGTCTCCCGTCACTAAAGAAGCTATACTTCTCTAGCTGTGAATTTTATCTGTTTAAGGACGTGCCGTGTAGCCTCCACCTTAAGAATCTCCCAAGTAGAATTCATTGTAGTATAATGATAACTAATATTGCAATGGTAACTTATTAGTAACAGTACTGTACATATTAGCGCTTATTCAGCAAAATTCGAGTAAAAAAATCATTTTAATTATGTGCAGGAAGGAATACAAGAAACTAAGGAAAAAATGTCAATATTTGTTAAAACTTGTTTATGAGGCTGACAAAATGTTGGAAGACATAGATGAAGTCGACCATAGGGATAGTCCTAGCTTCTGCGAATGCCATGTATCTTCCCAACCTGAAGATGTAGAATGTGCGGGGTACTCATTTTCCCATCAGCATCCCAGCCCAGATAACGGTAACGTAGAGCACACTCTCAATGATGAAGCCTCTACTTTCAGAAATGGGAGCAGCACAATACTTATGAAAAACTCCTTAGGAGCTATAGAGAATTCTCAAGCTGCTGCTGCCTCTGATGATAAAAGTGATCTCACTTGTGCTGATGCAATCGAAGAGAGAGGTACAACTTCAATAACCCACGCGCAAGAAAGTATGGAAGCCATATCCCCATATTCTAAAACAAGTTCTCTAAAATCTAATGCTTCTAAATCAACACAAACAGTAGAGGACTTCACAACATGGCAGCGCATTATCCGTTTAGATGCAGTGCGAGCCAATGCAGAGTGGGTCATCCATTCGCCAGCACAAGCCGCTGTCACGGAGGAGAAGGCTCTCGAACTTGCTGAGTTCGTCGGTCTGAAGGACTATGATCATCTCGAGCCTTGCATGATCTATCACGCCGCTCGTCTCGTTGCAGTTCTTGAAGCATATGCAATATACGACCCAGTCATCGGATACTGCCAAGGGATGAGCGATCTCTTGTCACCCATAATCGCCATAATGGAGGAAGACGACGAAGCCTTTTGGTGTTTTGTGGGATTTATGATGAAAGCACGGCATAACTTTAGGCTTGATGAGGTTGGGATTCGCAGGCAGCTTAGCATTGTCTCTAAGATCATCAAGTTTAAGGATCCCCACCTTTACAAACACTTGGAGAAGCTTCAAGCTGAGGACTGTTTCTTTGTTTATAGAATGGTGGTGGTTCTTTTCCGGCGAGAGCTCGACTTTGAGCAGACACTGTGCTTGTGGGAGGTGATGTGGGCAGATCAGGCGGCGATTCGGTCTGGGTTTGGGAAATCCGCATGGGCGAGGATAAGGTCGCATGCGCCTCCGACTGATGACTTGCTTCTCTATGCAATCGCGGCTTGTGTGCTTCAAAGGAGAAAGCTGATAATTGAAAGGTACAGCAGCATGGAAGAAATCTTAAGAGAGTGCAACAATATGGCAGGTAACTTGGATGTCTGGAAGCTGCTTGATGATGCTCATGATCTGGTTGTGACCCTCCATGAGAAGATTTCATGATCTGATTTTTTCTTCTTGGCCCCTCACCCCTATTAGCTCTAGCCTTTGGTGTCTATTTTATGGGGCACCAAGACAGCCGCTCTCGCTTGAAAAGATGATACATTCGTAATCACATGAGGATCCAGCTCTATTTTATTGCCGAAATTTGAATTTATGTTGTATATTAGTAGTCATCCTTACTCCTGATGTGATAATCAAAATTCCTTCAGGATTATGATTATACAAACATGAAAGTCATAAAAATATGGGATTTGGGTGATATCTGAGTTCATTAAGAATGGACCAAAAGCTCATTGAGCTGTCTTGTATAAATAAAAGATCGAATTTTCTCATGGTTTTTGTATCTTTATGGCACATTTTTTAGCAGTTTAATATTCCATTCATTATGATCAAAATCTGGCTTTGGTTTCAGCATGGTTCTTTTGCAAATATTTTGCCCCCAACGCGTTGTCATTTTTCTGCTTTAATCTGGCTGGGATCACTTTAGTTTTTTATTTTTTATTTTTTATTTTTTATTTTTATTTTAAAAAACATTTATTCAATGTATTTGTATTTTATTTTTTTTTTTAAAAATTAATTTATTTTTTAGATATTTAAAATATCTAAGAATTCTATTGACTGTTCTAAAAAATAACATAGAACATATCAAATATATTTCATTCAAGTATAAAGACAATAAAATAAAAACGAAGAGAACAGATGCGATTATACTGTTGATCTTGGATTTTACTGGGTTCATAGGCTTCATGAAGCTGATGAATCCATGGCAATTAAGTTGCCTATCATTCATCCTCAAGCTGATCAGGACACCCAGGTAGGTGCAAAAGACAACAAATGTGGCGTTGAATCCAGATTTTCTTTATACATATCTCATTTTAAACTTCAAAATTTGTATTGTGTTAGCACTCCAAACTCAAATTTAAAAAAATTTTCAGTTTATTTTTACCAAATGCATTACAAGCTCAAGCACCCTTTAACTTCAGTTTAAATTAAAACCAACTCCAACAGAATTTTTTAACTCATGACCTGTTTGTTTGAAATTTTTTAGCATAAAACATGTTTAAAGTATATTAAATTTTAAGATTTTAAACATAATATTATTAGTCATATTTTTGAGAAATTATTATTATTTATTTATTTCAAATAAATTTATTATTATTTTTTCATTAGTTTTTTTACTTTTTATTATTTTCCTCCTGTTATAATAAATAAATTCATTTGTAAGCTGACTCAAAACTATTGGCTAGCTCAAGCTGGGGCTCTCAGCTCAACCAAACTCAGATGAAACAACCCAATAAGTTTCGCATAAATTGATAATAATCTGGGTACTTCTGATTTCAGGAAACATGAAGATTATAACTGGTATTTAAGTTGAGCATTCAATAAAGTAATCGTAACCAAATAAATCAATAAGAATCATTCAATGTGAATCAGCTGCTTCTGGTGGATTGCATCAATTTGATTAAAGTATCCCACATAAGAACACCGGCAACAATGATAAAATCATAAACACAAGTCAAATCCATTGATTGATTCAAAACATCAACTCCACTGCAGCACTAAACGAATGAAAAGAACATAAATCCAACCAACCCATGCAATCCAGTTAAATAAAGTCTGTTTTAATCAACAGATTTTCTCTAGATTTAAGTGGAGTACATGAATTTCTTTTTAACTTTGAAAACAGAAGTCTTTCTTACTCTGCTTTGGTGTAGTATCTGACTGCAACGGCAAGGCCCAGAATCATGATAGGAACCAGGAACTGCAATATCTTGATGATAAAGTCTGAGGTTTTATCTGGATTGTATGGCGCTTGCTGGGGTTGAATATAGGCGCGCTTTGCTGGAACAGTAGAAGCATCAATCTCTCCTATATAATATTTATGAATCATATCCCTTGCGATGTCACTGTGGCCAACATCCTCAAAATCATTTGTTGCATCTTTCCCTGCAGTAAATTGCAAAACGGAGAACAAACTTTAATTAGGATTTCTCTCAGCATGCTCTGTATGCAAATGAAAGATTTTTGCACCAGCACATCTGAAGAGAACAGTGGGAGATTATGGGTTCTTTTCAAGCAAAGGATCCACAAGGTCTAAGGCTGAATTTAACTTGAAGATTGTAAATTGCTCGATAATCAATTCAAATTTTGGCTTGGAATGAAGTAAAAGAGCCGATGAGCCGAAATCATGGTTCAAAATTTTTTTTAAGCTCATTTTAAGCCGTACACGAATCAAAATCAGAGATTGTGTTCTTTTCAAGCAAAGGACCCATAAGATATAGGGCTGAGAATTTAACTTGAAGATTGCAAATTACTCGAAAATCAATTTGAATTTTGGCTCAGATCAAATTAAATAGCCGAGCTATGAGCAGAAAGAATGGATTGATTTTTTTTTTTAGCCGATTTCAAACCATGCATAGATTAGCTCGAACTAGCTGAAAATTGACTCAAGGTTATATATATAATGAGCCATGAGAAAACCTCAGTTTGGCTCCAAATCGGACCGCACACAGCCCTACCTGTTCTTGACAATAGGATTCAATTCGTAGTTGCAGAACAAGCAAGAAACTGATGCATAAACTGGAAAATCTGGGACTGTAGAGGAGAAAAATGCGACTAAAATTTCAGCCCCAACTAAAAGCCAGGACTTCTAGGAAAACAAATATTCATTTACCAATGCCAAGGAATGCCAAGGAATACCAAGGTCTGCAAATGACAGCCTATGAAATTAAGAGGATGTGAGAAAGATGACTAGATTATCAGTGGAATTGTCATAATTTTCTTTATTTTAGAATGTCACCTTTAAAATTATGTGTCGTCTATCAGTCAAATGTTTGACTCACAATCTTCCACAATGTTTGTACAAGGAGCCATGGAAAATTTCAATTGTTGTTTCTTTTTATTTAGCACAATTATGTCATGGGTAGTTAAAACAATATAAAATATAGGATTTCATTATCAACCACAGTCATAAAAAATAGGATTGACCATGATTTCGAGCCATTGTACTTAATTTTATAAAATATACAGGATAATTCAAATCTAAATTGAACATGCTCTACCTAAGATTTTATTTATTTTTTAATAAACAATCAAAGACTATTAGGGGAGTTAACATGCTCAAATATTGCTAAACAAAAAAAGATTCATCGAATGTTTAATGTTAGCAGAGTAGAAGCGGCTAGTATCTAGGACTATTAAGTATTAGCTATTATTCATTTTGGAATCCACGAGTGGACAATTCCTTCAAAGACAATATGATCACAGGCCAATTCACTATTACTTGGCGATGAAGGGAAAGCTTTTAAGTTTAAAAAGTAATATTTGAAAATTTTCAATTTTGACCTTCAGGTGAAGAAAAAATTTATTATGTTTGGGCTTACTGTATAAATGTTTATGAAACAAGGAAACTTTAACAAGGCCCTCACCAGTTGCTGCTAACAAAACTTCATCACCACCAGGGTGTTCATCCATAAATGAGGTCACATCATACACCTGAGAAGAAAAAAAAGAAAACAGCCAAAAAAAAAAGAACGATCAATAGAATTTGATGAACATGCATATAAATGAACATTAGGTTCCTGGTCAATTCTGTTCATCAATAACGACTTGAAGATCTAAGTAGCTCATCCTAAGAATTTAAAAGACATTGTTTCTGAGTCATAACTTTTGTTAAAATTACGTGGCCAATATTATCTCCCATCAAATCGCTGCAAGATATGATTCAGATCTCCTATTACTGTAAATATTTGTTAAGATTCTTAAAGATATGATTAAATTTTCTGTGGCCATAATTTTTTTTTTGATTAACTTTAAAATATCTTGCAAAATCTTGTGATTAATTCTATATCTCCAAACTCATGTCTTTATTATCACTATAAATAGAGGGAAGGGTTCTGTATCCCACAAACACATACATATAGAGAGAAGAGGGATAGAAAGAAACCAGCTATCAACCTAGAGAACAAAAAAATTTTGGGGCGCTTGTAGCGGGGAGATTTGCTTCTTGAAGAAGATGTTAATTTTGGTTAAATAAGACGGAGAAGTTTTTATTTGGACTTCAACAAAAAAGGGAAGTGTAGTAGTAGCAATATCTTCTCCATGTTCAACCATGATCTTCACAATGGATGGCTACATTTTTTCTTAGTCATTGATATAGACAAAATGATATCTACATCCTTATCTCTTGCTTCATATAAAAGAGAAATCATTATGATACTATTTTTTGGAAACTTAGTGGAATATTTAATTTATGTGCGGCCACTGGCATAAGTTGATCTCAAAGAAGAGTCTTGTATTTGTGATATTTATTGGGTTTGTTCTCTCATCTTTGTTAAAATTTTGCAAAATTTATTATTATCACAAAAAATAATAGCAATGTTTTCGTCAAAAAATTGGTTAGACCTAAGTATGCATGACGAGAAGATTAAAATCGACAAGTTTAATGTTGAAATTTTGGGTTTTGGAAGATAGGATAGAAGATTATTAGCAGGAGCGCAAGCCTACAAAAAAAAAAAAAAAATCTCAAGCGAATGCAGAATGATGACACAGTTAATCGGGAAACGTAAGAGTTGTTGGAAAAATAAGCTGAATATCACATTCATCCAAGTCATGAAAGAAATATGATATTATATGAAAAGCCTTTCACAGTCAATAAAAATACATATAATGTGTGAGTATCTTAACCTTGGGATATTTTCATCAAATGTGGAGGGCAACATAGCATCTCTCCTTTAATGAACCACAATTTTGACCACTTCAATTATAGTATTGAATCAAATCATATGTTTTTTTTATTTAATATAGCAGGTAAACCATGCAAATATTGATTTGGTTGAAGCAATTCCTTAGTTATTTGATTTAAAATAGCAGGTAAACCATGCAAATATTAATTTGGTTGAAAGAAATATTGATTTAGAATGTCTTTTTTCCACCCTTTCTTCTTTATATGATTTGATTCAATAGATCATCAAAGCATCCACAAAAGAAATTCAGTCACAAACATGAGCTTCAAGGAATTGTGAAGATCAAACAATCTCATATCCTGCATCATCACAATCTTTAGAAAGCACTGATTTATCAATTATAATTTCTTTTAATTTTGTTTCTTCCATTTTTTTCCCATTCCATCACTCTTTGGGTCCAACTTAATTATCTCTTGCGGCATCACCACCTTAAAGTTGATGTTCTCTACCACAAATTCAATTGTGGAACAAGGTAACTTCAATTATAGTCTATGTGGATCCTATAGTTATTATTTATGATTTTTTTTCTTTCGATTAATGTTGTACTAATGATAAAAAACTAGCATTTATCATCACTAAATTTCTTCAAGGTTTCTTTCTTGTATGGCTATTTCAATTAATTTGACATTTCAGTATTTTTTGCAACATTTTAGGCTTGAGAGTTCATGAATGCTAATTTTAAGTTCTCTTCCAGGGTATCTAAGAGACAAACTACTCATAAAGTATTTTCTCCTTAAACTTAGTCACATAACTAATGTACAGCTAGCAAGTCACATACTGAACAAAGAGGAGGGTGTAAGATTACAATAAAATAATTTTTCATGGAATCACTTTTAGTAAATTTAAAACTCACTCTAAACAATCTTCCCGATATTTAAAATTTATTTATTCTTCAATAAAATGTAATTATCCTTGAATCATGATCGATTAGCTAACGTCTATGCACTTCTATAGGGCAGGGGAGTCCCAAAAAAAATATTATAGAAAAATATAACCAATTTATGAAAAATATTATCACTTATGATGTAGGAAATTGTTCACTCTAAATTAAATAATAGATAGTTAAAGTAGCTAAAAAAATTATATGACAATTATGGCCTTTATGGCATGCGCATTCAAAAAGAAAAATAAAGGGGATCCTGAATGCCAATATAAGATTTTCGATTATCAAGTCAATTTTTAAAAATTTTTATATACATGCAATCATCTACCAGTTTAAACGTGTTAATAAACTGTTAGAATACTAACAGTCATTAAAATCATTTTCCATCAGTCTCTTCTTTCATGCCTTATACAATTAAAAAAAAAGAGATAAAAGTAATTAAAAAATCATTATCCTCTTGCAGTTCCCTTCTAATCCTAAAAAAAGGCACACTATTCTTTTAACAAAACCAATATCATTAAGCATAAAGTATGATAACAAGATTAATCGAAGATGCAAACAAAGTTTAAGCCAAATCCAAACAAACCATTTTTTAATTTTATTGTATCCTGGATTTCATAAATCAAACAATAGCCTAAATCTAGACTTATAAAATCCCAATAATAGCAGTATTTAAGAGATTTAAAAGTTTAGACTTCAATCATATAGCAAATCCCCTTTCCAGCATCCACAAAGTTTTCAGGACAAGAACATATCAACAATCAAACAATTTCAAGACTTAAAGCTACAAAAAATTTAACCAAAACCAGATCCACAAGATTTACAAAAAATTTAACGACAAACAGCCCCACATTTTACTCCGAGAAGGAAATCAACATATTTGATTTCAAAGGAGCGAGATTCTAAAAGAAGGAAAAAGGAAGGACCTTTCCATGGATGATAAGCCAGCAATCCTTTGTGGCGTTGTGTTTCGAAACCTCATCAAAGTGAAACGATTTCTGATCTCCAGCCATATCTGTCCGGCAGAATGTTTTTCAACTCAAAACCCAAATCAATCTTACAAAAACGAAACCAGAAACCGTTTGCAGGAACGAGGGGGTAATCACCTATAAAGGAAAGAGAAATGTGTTTTCGTTTTGTCGTCTTCGTTTTCTGTCTTTCGTTGGACCTCGACCAGGCGCGCCGCAAGGAAAATTTATTGACTCAGGACCACGGTGAGTTGCATAGGGAGTCCTAACGAGAGAAAGTGAAAATGGGTCCCACTACACATTAAAATTAAAAAAAAAGCTTAATTAACTTGACCCGATCCCAATCAACGCGGAACAAATTTAAAAGATGAATTTTTTCGTGAAACCCGCCCGGAATTTAGCCCGTCGTTGGAATGCCGAAATAGACAAAAAGCTACTTTATGCTATATTTGGTCATTAGCAGTTTTGAAGCGTTTCGTCTTCCTTTCGTCGGTTCGCATTTTTAGTTCTTCCACATTCGAATTCTTCGGCTGCTTCAGGCGTTCTCCATTTGGACGGCGGTAGTGCTTCTCCATTCGGACGGCGGGTTCTCTTCGGTTCTTCGGTTTCGACTCTTGAAAAGGAAATGTCAGTTTCACAATACTCATGATAAGTCTTAGTGCTCAGTCGTTCGGCAACAACAAATCATTTGTTTTCTTTCTCTTTTAGCACACAAAATGAAATGTCGTAACGGTACGGAAGAAGAAGCTAGTGGTCTCCCGAAGTTGTTGAGGGAATATGCTATAATGTTTACTTTAGAAAAAAAATTTGAGGTTATATTCTTGTTATAGTCGTGTTATAGTCGTGTTATAGTCGTGTTATTGTGTGTTAAGATGTGTTATTGTGTGTTATTGTTGTGTTATGTTGTTATAATTGTGTTTTATAAGTGTTATTATTGTGTTATGTTATTATAATTGTGTTATAAATGTGTTATAGATGTGTTATGGATGTGTTATTGTGTGTTATTGTATGTTATAGATATGTTATTGTGTGCTATTGTTGTGTTATATCGTTATAATTGTGTTATACATGTGTTATTATGTGTTATTGTTGTGTTATGTTTTATAATTGTAACATAATCATAACACAATGATAACAATGCTAACACTATCATAACACACGATAACGTAACAATAACACAACAATAACACAATGATAACACAATCATAACACATTATAACACTACAATAACACAATAATAACACAAAATAAGACTGATTACACAGCTATAACACAACAATAATACACATTAACTCATATGTAACACAACAATAACACATATGTAACACGACAATAACTCATCTGTAACACAATAATAACTCATCTGTAACACAACAATAACTTAACGATAACACTCAAATAACAAACTAATAACACATATGTAACATGATAATAACACATATGTAACACGACAGTAACACATATGCAATAATAACAATTGAGTCATTTGAAAATGTGTGAATGAGGAATGTTATCTATAAAATAATATTTCTATCATTATGTTTGTTGTTGTAGGTATATGAATGCAAGAACTTTCAATTGTAGATGTCGTTATTTCACAGTGAGGGGAGCACTCGATACAGTTAGACACATTGTACCCGAGGGGACCATGAAAATTTTAAGTGAAATAAATGTCAGTCAATTTTTTGACATGTCTCCTTATCCATAAGATAATGTGTTGATTCTACATATCATGGGATTTTGGAATAATGAAAGAAGAGCTTTTGCGATGGGTGGGAAGTCGGTAAAACTCCACGCGACCATGTTGCGCTGTTGTTAGGCTTGCCCAACTGAGGAGAATTAGTTAGTTGGAGGAAAACTCCCTCATATGGTGTAGATGCAAGAGCAATAAAGGAAGATGTGACTAATTTTCCAGGAGAGTCTTCCACTCCTTTTGAGAAACTATTTCTTAAGTTTTTACTAACAAATTTATTCTTTTCCTCGAGCAATTTCAGTGTGCTCGCGGAGCTTTATGCATTTGGGGAGAACGTACAGAACTTCTCTTCATTTAACTGGCTTGCTGCCATCTGTGATTATATGATTGATCAAATGAACTTTGTTGCAATCAAAATAAGACGGAATTAACCACTTGGTTATATAAATAGCTTTGTATTTCTTTTATCTGTAAGTTCATATTGTCTAATTTAAAAATTTTCCTTTTCACTTATTGTTTTTATTTTTTCTTTCCTTCTGACAAATTGGTTTTTGATATGTGTCATCTGTAGCTTTGGTTTTTTGAGCACACAACTCTGTTTACTCCTGCTACACTTGAGGCTAGATCACACATGCTGAGGTGGCAAAAAATGCATGGGTGGACAACACCACGGATTCAGGAAGCCTTTAAGGCGCTCAAGCATGTACAAATAATTAAATTTATTTATTATAATATTTTATTTGGGTAAGTTTTGTTTCTATGTTGCTTTATTAAAACTAGGTAAAACATTGTGATTTTTAATGTAGGTTAATGACACCTTCATCGACTTGAGGAAAGATGAGCTCCACTTGTTGTCCAATCCTTACCATGAACCACCCAACCCTGTTATGACTCTTCCTCGTACTGTTTGTTGTGAAACTCCGGTCAGACCGCCATCACCCAATTGACATGGTGTTGGTCCAATTGTTTCAAGCGAGGTAACCCCATAAGCAACATATAGAAGGGGAGGAAATGAACTTAAAGGAATAATCAAGCTACTTAAAGCTTAGGAACAAATAAGTTTAAGTATACAATAATCTATGTTTACTATGAATAAACAAATAGCTAATGTTGAAGAGTCATTATCCACCCTAACAACTATGGTTAAGAGATTAGAAGAAACCAAAGTTGATAAAGAGCATGCAAGTCGTCGAAAGAGTAAGTTCAAAGATGTGAAAAGGCAAAAGGACCAAAATTAATGAGAATTTACCTGTTCATATCGAAGGGCCCGCTGAAGTTCTTCTAGCTCGAGATGCAAAGCAACCCAATAGTGATCACTAGCCAGAGCACTAGTTCCATTGTTGAGAGCCATGTGATAGTGGTATAAAAAAATAATCCCTTCATATTTTAATTTTGTAATTAGAATTTTTAATTATTTTTTTTATTCTGCAGTCTCGTATTGTGACATCTTACCTAGAATATCCTGGTAGATCATTAGTACCACGTGAGATGCAAGATGTTATCGATGAATGCATTGCTACATATACGTGGGTGTAAGTAACATTTGACAACAGTTTTGATGTTATTCAGGTTATGCAGTAATTTGATATTCAATTGTGACAATCTTTCTTTCTTAAATATGTAGACATGATTTTCTTGCAAATAAAAGTTTTGGGAGGGCAATTGACCGAGGCGGCCTCGAGGATGTATTGCTAAACGGTGGTTTGGAAACTAACGTTAATGTTTTTTATGATATATTGTGTGAAAAAATTGTCAGGTCACCTTAATTATACAGGCCATACATCTTTGTAATGTCGCAATATTGAGCAATTGTAATTGTTTAATTTATTCATATTTATTTGGCTCGTACTTTCATTGTAGACACAATTCAATTTATCATCTTCTACAGATGCATAAGAATTTGGATAGCGCAGCTTTCGTGAAACACATCACGAAGGAAAGTATGAAGGAAGCACAAGTTATATTATTTCCTATAATTCATAACGGCCATTGAACTTTGTTGGTGGGGAGAGCTGAAATTGAGAAAATGAAAATTGTATGACTCTTTGCCCAACAGTGTGCATAAAGATGTTGCCCATCAAGTTGCAAGTATATTACACAAGTATTACACACCAATAAAACCCAATATCACAAAAATAACACTCTCATAACCTTTGCAGGTGAAGCTGTTTGCAAAGGATGCTGCAAAGTTTTTTCCTAGAGCCAAACATGTGACATGGGGACTTACACTTGTTAGGGTGCACCAACACAAAACAATAGTGTTGATTGTGGTATTTTCGTATGCAAATTCATGAAAACTTTGGTGTTGGCACAAACACAAGAGACTGATTAGACCCCGTATCTTAACTGACAGGAAGACATTGATGGATTTAGAACTGAATTTGTTAACTCACTCCTTTGTGCTGACAATTTTGAACTGAGCTTTACGACGATGTGACAAATATTATTGGTTGACTCAGTGCTTTGTCTTGACAATATTTTCATTGCAAATATTTCTTTATTGATTGTCCTTGACCATTTATGTCTGATCTTGTACATATCATTTAACCACATGTTGCTGTGTAGGTTCCCCTTATCAATCATTGTGACCCATGCTTCTTCAAAATTCTCTGCAGAATCACACTTGCTCATGCATTTGTAGAAGAGATCACCCACACTTTTGACGTCAACAACACAATGAACTTATGAAGGAAATTTATTGTATATATGTCATTGACATAATTAGTGTCGTGTTTGTGGAAGACAAACTTTAATGGCTCGCGCCATTGCTTGATCCTTATCCGTGAAAATTTTCGTTGGACGCTTGTCACCCATTATTTGGATAAATGCTTTGAATAACTGAATGAATAAATCAATGGTCTCATCAGACAAAAAAACCCACTCTAAAGAGGACTTTTTGCCAATGGTGGTTCGCCCCCACGAAAGAAGCGCAACATAAATTGTACTTATTTAATCTAAAACTTGTACCAAATATTATTACATCCCCAAAACAATCATAATCAAGCCTGAATAACCTGTTGCTCCAAATAAAGCTTCTGAGTCTTCCACACTCATCAGTTTCTAAATCCCAGACAAACATGGTATTCTTAGCTTGCCTCTCCATAAACAACTGAATTACAGAATTGACATCTCCTTATTCTATTCTTTCCCTTCTCGCTCTTTGAATAAAATTGTATACAACTCTCTTCATACATTCAAGGTTCTCCACCCCAATCTATGTGGACATAAAGTTATATGCATATGTTGCTCGAATCCCTGATCATGTCACAACAAATCTGCATTAACTCACTTATTTTTGTGCTGGAACACAAAAGATACTTATCACCATTTTTGGTAAGAATGTGGTTATGACTTCCAATGAATTTCTTCACTATCCAATTTCCTTCAACATCAATGGCATATCTAATTATGACTTGACATCCAGTCCTCGTGTCAGTTTTTCTGAACTTCACGGTATCTGTCGAGTTTGACTCCTTCTGGTTAACCTTTCCACAAATAAAATCTTTGGTTTTAATCTTCTTAGACTTCGGACAATACCTGCTATGGTCCTTCCTAACTGAAAA